CAGGCGCTGGGTCCTCCTGAGCCGCCAGGGGGATGTCTTCATCCACATCCCAAACAACAGGTGCAACGATGAGAGACTGGGGCAGGATAGGACCCCCCAGATCCTTCCTCTCTCCGGTATAGTGCATCCTGGAGAGTGTCGGCTTTCACATTCTGGGATCCTGGGCGGTAGGACAGAATGAATTGGAAGCGAGTGAGAAATTGGGCCGACCTGGCTTGACGAGGGTTCATCCGTTTCGCTGCCCGTATGTGCTCCAAATTCCGGTGGTCAGTAAGAATCCAGAATGGATGGACTGCGCCCTCCAGCCAGTGTCTCCATTCCTCCAGAGCGAGGACCACCGCCAACAGCTCCCTGTCTCCAACTCCATAGTTCCTCTCTGCGGGGGTAAGCTTTTTAAAGAAAAAGGCATAGGGATATATTTTCTCTGGCTTGCCGTGCCGCTGGGAGAGGACCGCACCCTCGTCCAATGCGTCCACCTCTAGGATGAACAGACAAGATGGATCTGGGTGTTTTAGGATGGGCGCTGTGGTAAACCTCTCCTTCAGCCTCTTGAAGGCAGCGTCAGCCTCAGGGTTCCAGGCCAGCTTCTGAGGCCCACCCTTAAGGAGAGAGGTGAGCGGGGCGGCTATGGAGCTGAGGGACCTGATGAAACGCCGGTAGAAAACTGGCGAAGCTCTGTAGACCCTTGATGGTGGTGGGAACTGGCCATGACCTGACGGTGTCCGTCTTCGCTCTTTCCATGAACACCCCCTGAGGACTGATCCTGTATCCCAGGAAGGAGATGGCTTGTTGGTGGAATTCGCATTTCTCCCCCTTTACCAACAGGCTGTGTTCCCGGAGGCAGAGTAGGACAGCTCTGACGTCCCTGATGTGCTCCTCGAACGTAGCCGAGTAGATCAGGATATCGTCGACGTACACCACCACCTGTCTACTCAGCATGGCTCGGAACACGTCATTGATGAAGGACTGGAACACAGAGGGTGCGTTGGCGAGGCCGTAGGGCATGACGCAGTATTCATAGTGGCCTGAGGTAGTGCTGAATGCCGTCTTCCACTCGTCTCCTTCCCGGATTCGGATCAGGTTGTAGGCACTCCTCAGGTCCGACTTGGTCAAGTACCGGGCCCCGCGTAGCTGCTCGATGGCCGATGGAACCAGAGGAAGGGGGTACCGGTACTTGGTGGTGACTGCGTTCAGCCCCCTGTAGTCAATGCACGGCCTCAGTCCTCCGTCTTTTTTGGCCATGAAGAAGAAGCTGGCGGAGGCAGGAGAGGTAGAGCGTCTGATGAACCCCTGTTTCAGGGTCTCCGCCACATACTTCTCCATAGCCTCAGTCTCCGCCATGGAAAGGGGGTAAATGTGACTGTTCGGGGGGTGTTGTCCCTCCAGCGGGTCAATGGCGCAGTCCCAGGGCATGTGCGGAGGGAGACACGTAGCCTTTGATGAAGAGAAGACATCGGCGAGATCTGCGTACTCACGTGAAATGTTGGGCTGGAGGGCGGACTCCGGACTCTCTACTGACGTGGAACAACAAACCACCAGCAGGCAGGTCTTCCGGCATGAGGTGGACCAGGCTGTGATCCTCTTGGTGATCCAATTGATGGTGGGGTTGTGTAGTCTGAGCCAGGGCAATCCCAAGACGATCTGGTGAAGGGGTTACGTGACGATGTGGAATGACAGCTCCTCGTGGTGCTCCAGTAGTGTGGGAATGGTGATGGTGATGGGGAGAGTGACGTGTAGCAGAGAAAGCAGTGGCACGGTGGGCAACCCCCATTCAGAGACCAGCTCCCTATCTATAAGTTTCCCCGCTGATCCAGAATCTGTCATTGCAGTTGAAATGGAAGAGAAGGAATAACCAGTCACTGTTTTGGGAACTAAAAACAATGGTTTTGTGATAGATGACATAACACTCACGGAGCGGCTACGGGAGTCATACCGCCTAGATTGGGAGCCACCAGGAGATCTGTGGTCCGTGGTGGTATAGGGGGTGCAGCCCACCTCCATGAGTGAGGACTCGGAGGCAGGGCGGCTTCCATAGCTCAGATGGGGTGAGCGTCGAGGCTCTGGGAGGTGTTGGGAACGCCGTCTGTCTCTCAACATGTCGTCAAGACAGATGGACGTGGCGATGAGGGTATCAAGGTCCATCTCATTGTCCCGACATGCGAGTTCCGTCTTGATGTCCTCCCGTAAGCCTCTCCTGAAAACTGTGCGGAAGACGCCGCCACCGTGCGAAAGCTCAGAGCGTACTCGGACGCGGGCCCCTCTCCCTGTTGTAGCTGGAGGAGATGCTCACCCCTGTCCTTTCCCTCCGTGGGATGATCAAACACCGCCCTGAACTGAGCGAGGAAGGTGGAGAAGGGAAGTGCCTTTCCTTTAAGTAGCGAAATCACCAGCGCCATCCTGGCTTGGTCAGATGGATATGCCCCAGGCTGACGCTCCAGATAAAGTGAAACCTGTAGTAGGAAGCCGCTACATTTAGTAGTTTTACCATCATAGCGCTCCGGTATCAGAAGTGGGTGATAGTACGGGAATAGGTGGATTGGGTGCACTCGCCGCTCCCTGAGGTGTAACCGGAGCGCTGGAGCACTTCCTGCATGGTGGTGTTCAACTGGGCAAGCTGCTGCTGGTGCTGGTTGAGGCACTGGGAACCTCATGCTGCATCCATTTTCGTGAGTTGTGTGTAATTCTGTGACGAGTACTGAGTATACGAAGAGGTAGGACGCAGATGCAGGAATTAACAAGGTAAAGGTTTACTTAACAATGAGAAAGAGAATAACAAAGAGCGAGTAAACGACACGACGCTAACAATTACACACAACAATGAACGAACAGTCCAGGGCTATATAGTGGTGGTGATGAGATGATGAGGTGCAGGTGTGCTGGAGGTGATTCGGGTGTGTTGGGTTTCCATTCCTGTGTGCCGAGGTGGTGCGCTCAGACCGGTGGCTCAGTAGACCGGTGAATCGGAGCGCCAGAGGGGAGCAACGGGAGGAGACATGACAGCTGCGTACACTTCTTTGTAAAGTTAGCATCAAGCTATGACTCCTTTTGTGTTTAGGCACAGCTATTTGTTGTTGGTATTTCTTAAACAAACACACCAAAATGAAATTGTGAACAACGCATATTATTGCATATGAACCGTGGAGACGGGGAGGTCACATAGAGTACCAGCATCATAATACCCATAAAACCTAGTGGTCGAACAAGGAAATGGTTCTAATCATTTTTCCACCCTTCATTCTTCACTTAGGAGATTTTAGGAACACTTAAAATAAGGACTGTGTTTCGTGTAGGCTTACCCTGGTGTGACGTTTTGATAACCGTGTAAATCTCTCTAGGACAAAGTGACTTTTATCAATATATTTGCCTGTATTTACCCCCCCCCCAAAAATAAATGCTAATTACCTGCTAATGTGGCTATCATAAAGAACTACAAATGCCATGATAAAAGTCACCTTGTCGGAGAGAGATTTACATGGTTATCAAAACGTCACGCCAGGATAAGTTTAAACAAAACACAGCCCTTATTTTAAGTGTTTCTAAAATTCCCTATGGGAAAAATGAATGGTGGAAAAACGATTGGAATCATTTCCCTGTTTCACCGCTAGGTTTTATGGGTATTATGACACCTCCACTGTGGGGCTCTATAGAAGGGCAAAATCCAAATGCTGTAAAGTGGACTTCCCCTCCTAACCACTGATCTCTGTGGCTTGGATAGGTGATAACAATATGTAAATTTATGAATCACACTTAAATCTATTTTGACAGGAGTTTACATGGATTTGGCATGGAACTGACCTTTCCCACCACTATTACATACCAACCTGCTGTTAGCTGTAGGCATGTTCGGTAAAGGAGCCTTGAAGTCCATTTAAACATGGGACGTATTGATTTATTTAACCTTTATTTTCTCGTTTAGGTACAATCTCTTTTCAAGAGAGACCTGGCCAAAGTGGCAGCACACGTTGAGTTATAAGACAAGGACCAAAATGCAATGTAAATTTACACGCTGGAAAATGAAAATGTAATGTGGGAAGATGATAGAGATCCTGGGGCTTCTAAAGCAAGACAACCAAATGTGCAACTTAATAGGCTTCAGATATGGCCCTCCTGTATGTGAAGTAGGCTTTACGAATGTTCTCTTGCCTGTAGCTCAGTTGGTAGAGCATGGTGCTTGCAACACCAGGGTTGTGGGTTCGATTCCCATGGGGGGCCAGTATTAAAAATGTATGCACTCACTTAACTGTAAGTCGCTCTGGATAAGAGTGTCTGCTAAATGGCTAAAATGTAAGATGGACATTGCCATTTATATCTGCTTCTGAGAAGTGACCTCTATGCAACAGCCTCTACCACATGCAAGTCTGACCTGGTTTGGTCTTCTTTAGATAGATTAATCCTCAGTATTTTATGTGATTTAAATTACTCTTATTTTTTTAAATAATTTTTTACAGTCAAATCCTGCATGTCAAATCCTATGCAACATGGAAAAGGCAGCTGAGTTGACCTATAGTGAAATTGGAAAAGTTTCAGAGAAATGATTATAAATTAGTTGTGAACTTGTTTATAATAAAATCATAATTTTATATCAACTTAATTCCAAATGTGTGTACTGCTTTAAATACAATAGCAAATCAAATGTTCTGTGATGTTAATAATTTAAACTTAGTGGTGTTTAATGTCATTATCTTTTGTGTACAATAATGAGGGTTATTATATGACAGCAAACTTGCCTAGTTTTCTAAACAAGGGTTAAGGGGCCTCAGTCAACCCCTCTATCTCCTCCCCTCCTCTACCTCTTTATTTACATTTACATTTACATTTTAGTCATTTAGCAGACGCTCTTATCCAGAGCGACTTACAGTTAGCACATACATTATTTTATCGAACCCACAACCCTGGCGTTGCAAACGCCATGCTCCACCAACTGAGCTACATCCCCTGCCGGCCATTCCCTCCCCTACCCTGGACGACGCTGGGCCAATTGTGCGCCGCCCCATGGGTCTCCCGGTCGCGGCCGGCTACGACATTTATTTTAAAATGTGAGAAATGTAAAGAACAGTTTAATCCTAGAAGCAAGCTGTGGACCTTGAGATCACAGTGGGCACATGACTATGGCACAGACATATAGTAGGCTTACAGTATGTTCTGTTTTGTTGTGGAGTGACGTGGCATGTCTGATTTGAACTTCCTAGCCAGCAGCCGAGACAACTTCCTCGTATGGTAGTTTTCTTTTGGTCAGGCAGTCAGCATGTCGATTTCGGGCCATGCTTTTAGAATGTTGAGTCGACTCGGTAACCTGACAGGTGGAGACTGAGAAGCGCACAGGTGGAGACTGAGAAGAGCACAGGTGAACTGCCATCGTTTACAAGATGAGCTACTACAGTGATACGCCAAGTGTCGACGATGAGTTGGAGTCGCTAGAGTAAGAATGTCTTTCTTATAATTTTGCCTATTCGTAAATCTTATTTTAGAGCCTATCTGATCAAAAGGAAATTAAAGTATTCTTCATAGGTAGTGCGTTTTAGCATTGTTCAGGAAGGAACGCTAGGCCAAGATCTGAAAGGCGTTCTAGAGAAGGAAATCCCTTCACTAGGCATCATGGTATTGTTTTCAACCCCAAACTTAAAAATGAATGATATAAAGCCATTGAATCTTAAATAATATAATTTAAATGCCTAATATAAGCTAGTTCAACTGTAATATAAGCTAGTTCAACTGTACCCCAAGAACCCAAGATATAAGCTTGTTTTACTCCATTGTTTGTTAATAATATAATTGTAAACAAACACGGTATAGTTTCAAACTATTTTTATCGAATGGGTGTCCTTGCATATGTAGCTCCGTAGATTAATTTGAGTGGTTACATTTCTCTAGCTCTAGCTCCATCCTTCACCTGTTTACCAAAAAAGAAGTGGGGTGACTGCTTTATTGTTGTTTGAATTCCAAACTGCCTCTTTGAATGAAGGCAAAATAAATATTCAAGTTCTCACTACATGTCATTCTGTTGTACCTATTCTAGTGCAGGTGTTGGCGCTGAGTTTATTGAAGTGTGAAATAAATTCCACTCTGCCATCTGCAATGCAAATACCCAACTTTCACATCTACATTAGTTGCGGTGATTTTTTCTGCAGCTGTCTTGTTTGTTTGGGGGGAAACAGCTTTGAAGTGACCTCTAAAGTGCCTTTGCATGGTGAAGTCACTTGAGAACAATTGGTCAGTGTTTCTTACACACACACACACACTGCAGCGGTTCATTACATGGTGGCACTTTACTTTTCAGATCTTACGGTGTGTGCATGTTTCTCTTGTCAGTAATTATTTGGGTTTAACATGCACTTCCTGCTAGTCTATTGCACCTTAGCGGTACATCACTTCACACCCAGTGACATGTCTGCTGTGGATTTCATGAGTCTGCTCACCACTCACATTAGTGATGCATGTCTGTTAGCTGCTGTACTCTGATTGGCTTTGTCCGTCTTCCACCTCTCCCAGATGGTACCACTTTGACCTGTCCCGCCATGCCGCTGAAGCTCTCCTCCTATCCAATGGGAAGGATGGCAGCTATCTCCTCCGAAACAGTCATGATGGTCCTGGCAGCTTCGCCCTCTCTGTCAGGTGGGCCTACCTAACCCGTCCCTCTTAAAAAGTAAAAGGTCTCCCTCCCTCTTCCATGCCCCATTTCAGATGGATTCCCATTCACCACATGCTTGTTTCTGTCCTTATACAGAGCCAAGGATTCAGTTAAACATTTCCATGTGACACGGAAAAGCAATGGCTACGCTTTCGGCTTCAATGAGTTTGCGTCCTTCCAGGACTTTGTCAGCCATTTTGCCAACCAACCTCTGCTGGGCAGTGAGACAGGTTGGCTTGAGACCAGTCCTTCAGACCTTACTGAATCCTAACTCTAAACATTAACCATTTCCTAGCTGTTTATTTATATTTTCAATGACTGAAATATATCCCATGGTATACCCTCAAGACCCCTAACATGAACCTTGACCTTTCACTCAACCAGGTACCCTCATTGTCCTTAAATGCCCGTATCCATGGCGTGTAGAAGAGCCGTCCATCTATGAGTCTGTGCGGGTTCACACAGCCATGCAGACAGGACGAACAGAGAGCGACCTGGTGGCTAACGCTCCATCGGTATGATCACAAGCTCATTTATTAGTGAAGCAAACACATGGGTTAATCATAACAACATAATTACTTAGGTCAAGTATCACAAACCTCATGAGATGACATTGTTTTTTATTGATTTTGTTCACAGTTTGGAACAAAGGAGGGCTATCTGGTAAAGTTAGGAGCAGTCGTAAAGGTGAGAGAAATACACAGCTGTACAGGCCAGGTTTAAAGTTGTTCTGGTTGAAAGACTTTCAATTTATGGTATTTTTTCAGAACTGGAAGCAGAGGTGGTTCACATTAAACAGAAATGAACTCAAATACTTTAAGGACAAAATGGTGAGTAGAAACCATATCTCTGATAGCGGTCATGGTTTATGATGCAGATGTAATATCATGAATAGCTAGATTTTATTTAATGTCAGTGTTTGTGACAGGATGATGTTGCCATCTCTCATTTGCTCTCCTGTCTTAGTTTGATGAGCCTATTCGCACCCTGGATCTGACAGCATGCTCTGCAGTCCAGTTTGACTACTCCAAGGACAGAGTCAACTGCTTCTGGTGAGCGCCAATCCATTGAGCCAAGAGTGGGCCTACCAACTCTGGTGATTAAGGCCTTTACAGACTTTTGACTAACTATTGACTGACTATTAATAATACTGTTTTGACTATAATACACTGCTGTTAAAGGTCAGCCTTTCCTTCAGGTTTTTTTTTGCCACTGGCGCTAGTTTCAATGTTCAATCTTGAATTTGGTAAACCTCAGTAGGCATTTTTAAACATGTTATCTGTTGATTTCACTTCCGCTTACAGAGGAATATAAAATATGGATAGTGGTGACCGATGGCAGTGGCAGATAAGAGGAAGTGGAACCAGAGTGATGACAGGAGAAGTCCTAACCTCCACTCGGCTATTTTCTTTTGTTGCTGGGTCTCTTTCTGTATCTGTTGATATTAAACCTTGCATTAATACTCATTCGGTCTCTTATTTAGTTTGGTGTTCCCTGAGAGGACATTTTATCTGTGTGCCAAGAGTGGTGTGGAGGCAGATGAGTGGATCAAGATAATACGATGGAAACTGGTGAGCCCATAATCCACTATCACTATTCAAATGTATAAAACAGAAACAAAGCTTGAACTGGCTACCTTAATCCAAATGCTTAACTAATGGGGGTAGAGCCTAAAAAATGAATGAATGTTTATCGTTTTCAGTCACAGATAAGAAAAGGAAAATGACAACGTGAAGTGGATGAGCTGTGACCGATGTCAGACAAGAGGCATATTCCCACAGTGAACTAATTGATCTTAACCTTAAGTCTGGTAGCTTGTCACTCCTGTTATCCACAGATATCCTCTCTGCTCCCAAGACAAAAGTCAATGGGGCTCTCTGACCATCAAAAAAAGAATGTCCATTTTTGACAATGTAATTTTCAGGACATGCACAATGACAATGTTTTGGATCTAATCTTTTTTTTTTTATATAGACTTAAGTTCCTCCAGGAATTGTATTTTCTCTAGATTGACTGACATCTTCACTAGTTGACATTTACTTGATCTTAATTTTACTTAACAAGATGTAACCCTCATACTGTGAATAAATATTTATTTTAATAAAGAAATTAGCAACATAAATGGGTCACTAATTAATTACAAAAAACACAAGCAAGGAAGGGGTTACATTCAAGTATTAGAAAATTAAGGCAACAAAGAATACAGCATCATGACACTATCAAACAACATGTACTGTATCGATGTCTTTCAGCAAAAGAGCTCTTTTTTTATGTGTGGCCAATGCAAAGGTGGAGAAGAAGCCTGGCCGTAGAGCATATTCTGGTGCGTTATTGTTCGCCACTGAAGGAGAATATATCATGTACACTGAGCACAACACATTGGACAAGGACAAGAAAAGGTCAACTAAATTACCTAGCTTTTAGAACAAAACACAGTTGTGAGGGAGACCTACCTTTAATAACTGGGACACCATCCCTGTCTGTCACTACGATTGCATGAAGACCCTCAGCACTGGTGGATAAGGAGAAAAAGAGCAGACTCCTTAGTCATAATTCAAACTACTGAACTTCACTTTTCACATTAGGGAATCACAAGTTCAATATTAGGTTTCAGCAACAGAAGAATCACAATGAACACATAATCATACCACAAACAAACATACCTTGATAACTGTTTGTACAAGTATCTCTTCAAGTCCTGCAACAAAATGTGTCAATGTGTTAGAATTACACAGACAAGATAGGTAGCTACCAGGGGCGCAACTTTGGTTTTAGAAGTGGGGGGGACATACAGTTGAAGTCGGAAGTTTACATACACATTAGCCAAATACATTTAAACTCTGTTTTTCACAACTTCTGACTTTTAATCCTAGTAAAAATTCCCTCTCTTAGGTCAGTTAGGATCACCACTTTATTTTAAGAATATGAAATGTCAGAATAATAGTAGAGAGAATTATTTATTTCAGCTTTTATTTCTTTCATCACATTCCCAGTGGGTCAGAAGTGTACATACACTCAATTAGTATTTGGTAGCATTGCTTTTCAATTGTTTAACTTGGGTCAAACGTTTCGGGTGGCCTTCCACTAGCTTCCCACAATTAGTTAGATGAATGTTGGCCCATTCCTACTGACAGAGCTGGTGTAACTGAGTCAGGTTTGTAGGCCTCCTTGCTCGCACACGCTTTTTCAGTTCTGCCCACACATTTTCTATAGGATTGAGGTCAGGGCTTTGTGATGGCCACTCCAATACCTTGACTTTGTTGTCCTTAAGCCATTTTGCCACAACTTTGGAAGTATGCTTGGGGTCATTGTCCATTTGGAAGACCCATTTGCGACCAAGCTTTAACTTCCTGACTGATGTCTTGAGATGTTGCTTCAATATATCCACATAATTTTCCTTCCTCATGATGCCATCTATTTTGTGAAGTGCACCAGTCCCTCCTGCAGCAAAGCACCCCCACAACATAACGATGGTCATTATGACCAAACAGTTCTATTTTTGTTTCATCAGACCAGAGGACATTTCTCAAAAAAGTACGATCTTTGTCCCCATGTGCAGTTGCAAACCGTAGTCTGGCTATTTTGGAGCAGTGGCTTCTTCCTTGCTGAGCGGCCTTTCAGGTTATGTCGATATAGGACTCCTTTTACTGTGGATATAGATACTTTTGTACCGGTTTCCCCCAGCATCTTCAGAAGGTCCTTTGCTGTTGTTCTGGGATTGATTTGCACTTTTCGCACCAAAGTACGTTCATCTCTAGGAGACAGTCTCCTTCCTGAGCAGTATGACGGCTGCGTGGTCCCATGGTGTTTATACTTGCGTACTATTGTTTGTACAGATGAACGTGGTACATTCAGGCGTTTGGAAATTGCTCCCAAGGATGAACCAGACTTGTGGAGGTCTACAATGTTTGTTCTGAGGTCTTGGCTGATTTCTTTTGATTTTCCCATGATGTCAAGCAAAAGGCACTGAGTTTGAAGGTAGGCCTTGAAATACAGCCACAGGTACACCTCCAATTGACTCAAATGATGTCAATTAGCCTATCAGAAGCTTCTAAAGCTATCATTTTCTGGAATTTTCCAAGTTGTTTAAAGGCACAGTCAACTTAGTGTATGTAAACTTCTGACTCACTGGACTTGTGATATAGTGAATTATAAGTGAAATAATCTGTCTGTAAACAATTGTTGGAAAAATTACTTGTGTCATGCACAAAGTAGATGTCCTAACCGACTTGCCAAAACTATAGTTTGTTAACAAGAAATTTGTGGAGTGGTTGAAAAACGAGTTTTAATGACTCCAACCTAAGTGTATGTAAACTTCCGACTTCTATTTTTTTGTCACATAAACACTCCAAACAGCCTATAAGGCCGCTCGGAGCCGTCCGCATGGTCCTAAAGCACACCGTTGCAATGTGGGGGGGACATGTCCCCCCTGTCCTCAGTGAAAGTTGCGCCCCTGGTAGCTACTACACTGGTGTAGCAACTGGCTATGACTTCAGCTATCTAGAGATTAATGTAATCAATGATTGTGTTCAAATCATTTATACTTACATCAGCCATGGTGGAAATGTTATGTATTTTATTCCACCGTCAATTGCTAGAAGAGAACTGAATTACGGTAAGGGTGTCTGTAAATGTCGAGAATATAAGTCTTTTTTGTGCTCTTCCAAGCTTTCCTTGCTATTTCGTTGACAGCTAGCTCCAGCTGATACTGGGTTAAGCAAGGTAGCTAGCTAGTTCGTTGGACTTGGTTGTTTTTCATATGTAGTACCAAATGTAAATGTATGACTACCTTGTAGATGTATGAATGCTAATGCACTGTTACCCTTTTTTTTTTTTTTTTTTTTTTAAACAACAACATTAAGCAGCTTTGCCCACAAGGAAATAATTTAACTGGCTTGACCCATGTTGAGCCAGCAACATCCGATTTAAGCTGTTCGAAAATCCTTCAAAATAAGAGCCATGTAAACCGTGGAAATGGTTAATTCTGTTCAGTAGCACCCAGTATCCAAAACCATTGCATTTCTGCAAATGGCTGTAATTTGCATAAGACATATTACTAAACCTAGCAAAATGGAAAAGGAAAAAATAGGGAATTAAGAAATAGATTAAACAGAAAGTGGGCTACTTAGTCTACTTCTCTGGGGTTATCATGCCCCCAGCTCAAATATAGGAAGCTATTTATAGTACATCCCCACACAGCCTTCAAATGTTCTTTCAAAACTCTCCCCTGACAACATAACAGGAGGTCTTGCTCAGAATTTTCTTCAAGGTTTGAAATCTGAACTCAACAATAAGGCAATCCCAGTTACTAATTATGATCTGGCCTTAGCAGTTTGAGTGAATCCTACTGTTTGAATAATATCTGGCTTGCCTTTTCTGCTGTAGTGTCAGTATGATGTTGGTCAAAGGATAAAGCGCAATAGGTCGTCTATTTGTATTTTAATTTGTAGCTTATATAATGGTGATTTGGTTGGCAACTCGTTTTGTGATATAATATGTGGGAACTGAGCACCCTTCCTCAAAAGGCTAGCCCCTTGCGTCACTCTACTGTTACAGTCATGATCTTTATCTTCATATTTTCTGCCTACTCCATAGCAATGGGGGATTTTCAGAAATTTGAACAGGACTTCTACCTGTCAGGGTATTACATTGATGACCAGGGACAGGTGGCCTTAGACTACAATGGCTCTGACCCTAACCCAGAGTATGAGGATGAGTAAGTATATGGAGTAAACTCTTTCCTGAGTGGTGGTGTAACACACTTCATTCAGCTTTTAGACTGGGGAGATTTGAAAGTGTCAATAAGTCTAACTCATTATATTATTTTGTTCTCTGAAAAAGATAAATTACATTATGTCAGGATAGAAAGGGAGGGGTACAAGTGGGGCATATCCCTCTCATCTTCCCCTACTGTTTTGGACAAGTAGGTACATTTAGCCAGTAAGATTTGTGTTTTGTTATTAGTGGCATAGATGTGTTCATGCCTGGTGTGTTCGCCCCCTCTATGGGCCAGCCGTACACAGGGCAAGTTTACCAGCCCACAACGCCCGCTGGGACGTATCAATACACAGCTGGAACAGACGGATCATACGAAGAAGAGCTTCCGTTGCTGGAAGGTAAGACCTGAGTCACCAGTACTGCTCTAAACTGGTGGTTTATTCAACACATTGAAAGCTTTAACAGAACTAAAATTAACGTAAGAACATATTTCAACGTGAAAGTGTATATAGGTCTTCTCATCTTCACATCTGTTGTGTATTTGTGCAGAGCTTGGCATGAATTTTTAGCACATTTGGCAGAAGACGTTGACAGTGCTGAACCCTATGATGCCTGATGCCAGCAGATGGCAGCATCATGAATGAGACCGACCTGACGAGCCCTATTCTGTTCTGTATCACTCTGGGTGCCACTTTACTCATGGTGAAGAACCTCCCCAGCAGCTCGTGTGTGTGTGTGTGTGTGTGTGTGTGTTTTCACAGCCCAAGTCATCATTAATCATTATTCAGATAAAAAGCATTTGTAGCTTTGCTGTATGTAACTGTGCATGTACTGTACTGAAAGTGCACTGTAACTAAATGTATTTACTCTCTTATATAGGCAAGCAAATCCCACTTTGGCTATGTCTATGGGATCAGTGCCATCGGCTGTATGGCCATCTACACCCTGTTGACCCTGATGAGTTCCCTGACTGTGTCCTATGGCTGTGTAGCCAGCGTGCTGGGCTACTGCCTCCCCCCCCATGGTGGCACTATCTGCATTTGCAGTCGTCTTTTCCCTACAGTGAGTAGGCCTTGCAGTCCAAAAACAATGAAAAGGTTGCCTAAATAATATTGCGTAGAAAAACTACGGTTTGCTCATCTTGATTTCTGTTCTGTCATGTCCTTTTGTTTGATTTACATCCAGAGGGATCATCGGAATGATCCTGGCCTTGCTGGTGATTGGCTTGTGCAGTTTCTCAGCTTCATCTCTACCCTGGCTATGGAGGGCCAGCAGCTGTTGGTAGCGTACCCCTGTGCCATGCTCTATGGAGTCTTTGCCTTGCTAACAGTGTTCTAAAGCCCACTATTGTCACTGACTGTCAACAGAGATCCAATTTCTGAGGCACTACATTGGGCAATACGTGTCTGGTATGGGTGTCAGTCTGGTATTGAGTTATAGTTATATATGGAGTTTTGTTTGTTGTATTCCTAGATTTTTTTTTGTAATGGGGCTCAGTTTTTCCATAGGGGTTACTTTACATTGTGAAAAATGTAATCTGGGTGTGTAGTTGGTTGCTGTTAAATTTAATTTGAAATGTTACATTGTGTCAAAGGGCAACACTGACTTCAATTGAAATTATGGAACTAATGAACACCATGTTGAAAAGCTATAAAACTTTATTTAGCGTTGGGCTTTTTTACAGTATAATTCACTATCTTGTGTCTTAAAAAAGCATACATTCAGGATATGAAAAACATACATTGAGTATAACGTATTCTGCCTGGGAAATGAAAAGAAATGCTATAATTATTACCAGTTTATAACCTTACAAACGTACATGGTTCTTCAAAATACAATAGTGCAAGAGCATGGTTAAGCATGGTTTTACTATATAAAGAATGCATTGTTCTTCCAAGAATAAAGTATTAAATGATTTCATCCAATTTATACTCACAAAGCAGCCCACTTACAAAAACATTTAACCTTAGAAAGTATTTTTTTTAAATCAGCAAAGAAATGAGGCATCCATTCTGATAACTTTTCCTTGGTAAAGTTACATGTTGTCTTACAATCAAAGGACTGTAACTTTGAGTTAAAGTGTTTTTTTTACTGATCAAAAAACAGATTTGTAGGACTTTAAGATTTTTATTTTAAATTCATCCATTCAATAACACATGTCCAATACAGGGTTTGGCATAGCTGATTTACACAGCCTCTAGAATAATGCTGTATTTAGAGGAATAGTCTGTTCATAACTGTAGGGTTTGGATCTCTACTGTATTGGTTTTAGGATTGCATTGGTTATTCACTATTATCTCAACCATTCAGGTCATAAACCATAAGGGACCAGGGGGAGTAATTGAGACACTGGGCCTAGTGTGACTGTCCCCGAAGTAAATACATAAACACAAATCTTTAAGACCAAAGGTTGTGTGTTCTATTCCCAGCAGAGTCAGTAGACCCAGTCTCAGTTCCCAGCATCTTTTTCCCATGGTATTTTTTTCAGATGAGGTCGGATGCCACGCAGGTTACCCTTCAAGACGGCAGGAAGAGAAAGAAACAGATCAAAGCTGTTGTAAGTACTATAGCAATGTGTACCTTCACTGTAATTACCATGTAATTGCATAGGTATTAGGGACACACTGTAAAGTGTGACTAGAAAGGTGAATTGTTATTAAAGGGACATTTTACTTAAACTGTTTTTTCATATATTCTTCATTAGTCCACTTTTGATAGTCCACATGTCAACATTGAAGTTTTATACTGCTTTCAGTCTCCTGATGCCCAAAATCAAGCATGATCAAAAACATCTCATGATGATGCGTTTTGACACTCTGTGTGACTTTTCCAGAAAGTAAACACAGGCCTGCTAGGATAGCTATGAGGAATATAATTGTTAAATTACTCACTGTATACACGTTGGAGAGGTTGGAAAGGTTGTTGAACAGCACTTGACCTGCACTGACTTTGTTCCTCACACCACGTACAGTCCCATTCTTGCTGCAGATATTAATGCGCTTGTTGCTAAAGAGCAGCTCCTTTTTGGTGCTAGCGTACATAAGCAGGTCATCCGGATCACTCCCGCAATCATCCGGTGCTGTGCCCACCAGCCCACACAGATGCCCATTTGCCTCGCTGGTTGGTGGGGAGCACGCCCGCTCGCTCTCCGAGTTGCTGGTGCAGTCCGAGTCAACTGAGTCTGTCACTGAGCAACACAATGTCAATGTGTCATCCTTGAACACCTCCGTTAAAATGCGACCGCTATTTGCAGATGCCACCCGAAACCTTATGGTTCTCTGAGCCTTTTCTTTGTCTTGTCTTGAGGTTGTGCCCTCCATTGGAACGCAAGAGGGTGTTTTACATGGTCAACATCTCTCTTTCAGTGAAGTAAGGTGCATTCTTGTAAGATTAAGCCATACCATTATGCTATTGTTAATTTTCCTAATTGACACATAAAATCTAAGTCCAAAATGGTCTGAGTAAGAAAACTAGACACAAATGGTTAATAATAAATTAAGTTCTGCCATGGTAACAGCTAAAACAGGCAAACAGTAAACTGATATCCCCATTATGCATAATTAATTAATTGCTTGGTCAAATATGACCAAATAGGCAACCGTAGTTGAGAGGTCACTGCAGATCAACAATCCACCAGTTCTTGTGCCCACTGTCATACCTCCACAACCTCTCAGCATATGAAGCTTCAGCAGATGACAACTTTGAGGACCTATCATAATGCTGTCAAGCATGCATCTGTTTTATAGGAGCATCCCTCTATGGTAGCAAGAGCAGGTTCCATTAAAAAGGGAAACGTGGAGTCTTTTCTCAAGGTGATCAAATATTTCCCACCTTAAATATTGCTGTCAACGACATAAAATCACTCATTACAAGTCAATTAAATATGTCTGGGTGAATCAACTGCAGCCAAAGTAAAAGCACAGAGTTTGGTAAGAGAATGTAGTGTAATATACTTTTTTGTGGAATATTTATTGTAGATTATCCCTTTAATTTGAATACCGGAAGTGACGTTATTGTCCTACGAAAAAACCCAAACACACGTGTCTACCGGTGTCTCCCACCTCCGTTCCACCAGCAAGAAAAAGCAAGACCTAGAAAGAATAAGGCCATGACCACAGCGATTTCCCTTCAAAATAAAAGTCCCGTAATGACGATGGTAAAAAATTATACAACGGTCGAAATTCGTAACATTTTATTTTGCGAATGAATTCTGTTTAACAATATGAAAAAAGTTAATCACCTTTTATAGCACAAATATTATAGCATTGACAATGTTAACAGCATTAAAACTAAGGATTAATATATAGTTATCATGGTAACAGCAGTAATACAAATAACAAAACATTATTTATAATGCAACTATTAATAACAATAATATAATTATATTAATCAACTTTAGAAAACACTTTCAAATCTCATTGTTAATTAGCTCATTCCTATTGCACAATGTTCTGTATTTTTTTCATATTGGACATACATAATAAAATTGTATGGTGCAATATGTATGTTGTGTCGCAGTAAAAGGGGGGTCCGTTCTACTGTGAGCACTTCTACTTTTCAAATCCACAGAGTTTACACCCAGAGGAGCGTCGCTGCTCATTCTACAAACAAACGTTTATTCAAAAAAATAGCTAAAGGGGTCCTAAAATTCAAAATCAAATAGCTAAATGATCCATGGTATGACCATCTGAAAACAATTCCATATGTTAGCTTAGTACCCCTAATTTGATGCTAATTAGCATTTTCGAATCTGAGAGTAAATATATATATATATATATATATATATATAAAAGTCACCTTGTCTGAGATTTACATGGTTATCAAAACGACACGCCAGGGTAAGCCTACACGAAACACAGCGCTTATTTTAAGGTTTCTAAAATCCCCTATGGGAAAAATGAATGGTGGAAAAACGATTGGAACCATTTCCCTGTTTTGACCGCTAGGATTTAAGGGTATTATGACACATTGAGTGTGGGGCTCTATAGCTAGCTGGCTGGCGACACATCGTGTTACTCCCTTGACACTGCATAGAATATAAATCAAATGTTTTAAATAATTTATTCTAGTCACAGAAAAGGCAGAAAAAACTAATATTGGATTTGGTAAGTCTACTGTCTCGTCAGCTAGCTACTAATCTGACTTGCAATTAGTTTCTTAGCTACCTTGTGTTTTGTAATGTTTTCTCTTTGCTACAGCCAGACAGCCTGGTACAGTCCAGTGCTGAAAGTGACAAGAACAACGAACCAGAGCAAAAGTCACCATATCAGAAGTTGTTGTCAACTCTCAGCTGCCCCGCAGACCACAAAAGCGAAGATGATGAGAGTGTAGAGGATAAAGAAGAGGTGGAAGAGCATCTCAGTGAAGGCAAGTGAAAGTGTCAAAGTGCACACTGATTGAACCATAGTTTTGCTTGCAGATATTGCATATTGGTTATGTCATGATTGTCATTTGACTTTAGAACAGTCATGGAGTGACATAAATCATATCAGAATTTAAAATGAGAATTTTCTATTCTGCTTGATTTTAGTTGGCAGTGATGGTGAGGAACATCAAGAAGCAGGAAATGTTTTGACAGCGACACCAGAAGAGTCAGAGGAGGAAGCAGGATCAAATAATGGGGGTGAGGTAGCGAACTAAACTCCACGGTGAAGGAAGTTTATGATGAACTTCACCAACAGAAGTTCATCATAAACTTCCTTCACCATGAATTGGAGTTTAGTCCGCTAGGGGTGAGGATGCTATGCAGGATGAAACAGCAGGAGGAGAGGAGTTTGAGGACAAGGAGCATGAGACTCAGTTCTGTCTGGAGAACAACTTCTCTGGAGAGGGAGAACAGGAGGGTGCAGAGAGCACTGCTGAACAAGAGAAGGTAGGTAAGCAAACATTGAGAAAGATTTCAATAGTCCGCCTTCATTCTGGTTTTGTATCCACTATCCAGCCCTGGAATTCTTCATAGCTCAGTGCAGCAACTGACTCCTGAAGCAGAGTTTGGAGTGAAAAGACAATGCTTCAATGTGTTTTCCATTTTTAAAAGAGCTTGCTGTGTTTTTTAGACCTGTTACGTTCTCCCCTCGGGTGTAGTTCGTCTGAGGAGGAGACAAAAATGCCCGTGCCTACGCACACAATGTAAACTAGATGGATGGGGAAGAAATGTGGGGTGTAACTAACTAAGATAATGGGACACAACAACCAAAACTCAATGTTAGCCCTCTGGAGACGTTTAGTAAAGTACTGAACAACATATACAACACCCATAAAGAAACAGTAATACAAACAAAGACCAATCAAACAAACCAGGGAAGGTAAGAGAAGGGAATGTTTGGGAACAGGGTCCAAGTAATGAAAATAAATAAAAAGGTCCCTCTTCTACACACCTAATCCTTCCTAACACACTCTAAGCCCTAACCCGCTTTCCTACCTGTTACCACAAATACAGGGGTGACACCCGCCCGGCTAACCTAGTGTGTAAAACAGTGGGTCATCTACGTGTGAATGTACACCCATGGGCAGAACTACCTTTCCCTTCTCCAGGACCTAGGTAGGGTGGAATACAGCAGGAGGACCGGCTAGAACACAAACAAAGATAAATCAAAAACAA